CAGGATCCAGGTGACGTAGGACAGAAAAAAGAAAACTTGACTGGTTCCCACCCCCCTCCCCTCACAAGGCACTGAGAGTGTAACATTACTGAATACAGTCATAATAGTTTCTAGTGCTTCTCTTCTCCAAGGCGTTGTTCTCTGTGTATTTTGTGTAAACAAAACATGCTTTCAAACTTGCTCCTCATTAAATGCACCTGATTGGAAGCTTCCATTCATAGGTACACGCGTAAATACTAAGCAGCGTATCATTAGTACCAAATTTCCGATTTATGGCTTGCTTTAAATCGTAACCCCCCCCCCCCCTCCCCCAAGCATAAAAAAGTGTGGTATGGTACCTAGGTAGTGTGGCAAAGGTCGCCGAGCAGCTAGCACTGGCATCGAAAGGAACTTCCAGATTAGGCTGCTGTACTTCCCTTCCCGAAGAAATCGTGGGTTGTCGGCCGGTAATTAATGCTGCTCTAAGTAGTAAACATAAGGAAACGTCAAGAGACGGGTGTCTCGACTAAATTGCGTGTAAAAAAGGGATCACTCAGATGTTAGGCACGTGAAACTCGTGCTATTTTAAGAGGCACCCTTAATACCGAAGCGAGCGGTCGCAAAAGCGCTGAGCTGCTATAACCAAGACATCGAAAGTACCCGCGTCAAGAAAGCGATCGGCGCTCACAAACGTGTGCCCAGAACAACTGCGTATTTGGGTGCAGACTCAATTGAAAGGTCTAGATTGTAACATCTAGCTCGACCATTCCTTTCATTCGATTACTTGGATAGCAGCGCGCGAGAGACGAGTCGTATATAAATCAATGCGATTGCCCCTGTCTTACCTAGTCGTGTTTTATTCCGTTCACCTTCCTCCCCGTATTTGCGGCACTGCCAGAATAGAAAGCTTTACTACCGCATAAACAGAATCGCCCTTTGACCAGGCGCGAGCACGTTGTCGAGCAGATCCAGCAGTAGCTGCTCGCATCGGGAGCAATTAGCATCGTCTTTAAACACTGGCGAGCAACGACGTACTGCTTCGAGGCATCGTAAGTGCGCATATAATTGGGCTATTAGTTATATTCTTGACACAATGCGTTATTGCGCGATGTTAAAACACTTTAAACGCGCTGCTATTTATAAGGTCGGTCCGCCCCTCTCAGGCAAACTACGCAGGCGTTCTTAAGTAAACAGCTTTCATTCGTCGTCGACACTGAATCACGTTTATACTGATCTAGTGGCATTGCTGCGTTCAGTGACGTTTAATAAAAGGTAACAGGAAGAACAGCACGCACATAATAACGTGGAAACGTCGGCAATAGTGCGCATTTAATCCCAGCACTGGCGGCGACTTGTGGCCCCCTTACAATTGGTGGCGCCACTAGCGGGAGATTTTCTCCCTATATCAACCTTTGCGCGGAGTTTCGTGACCAGAAAGCATTGAAGGACTCTGCTACAACTAAGAAAAAAGCTTTCACTTATCACGAGGATGCAGCCGAGCGCTTGTGCCGTATGCATCCGAGTGCTCGTTCAGTACTCAGTCGTTTTTTTTCGCTCGTTTTGCGATAATGAGTAGACACATGGCGCCACTTCTCAGGGCTTCGTGAAAGTAACTCACCCTTATTGTGCCAAGATGAATTTGGACACGTGGACATACGGTTGTAATGGTCCGTAGCCTTTAAACAACGGTTCCCAGCCAGATACCCCGGGACCAAGGAAGTTATCTTCCTCAGTCCCTGGGTAGCGAATTCACTCTTAAAGCTTGCGGTAGGACATCTGTCAAAAAGAACCCCTGCTGCGCCATAGCTACAGCAACCACTCGTGCTAAATATAGCAACTAAATATAGCAACCACTATGAAGCCACTGTCATAGCAACCGCCACAGTTTTTTACACCGTGGCTTAGCAACAGCAATTTCAACACATCAACAACTGCACGCTTTGTGCATATTCTGGATCCACCTGGCGCCATCTCTTGGCTGCCGATTCTTCCGCTGGATCCAATCACCAACAGCATTGCGATTGCACCATGACAAGCTGAGGACCAACCAGCTTAACTACGCTAAGCTTTGTGCAAACTAGTCACACTTTGTTTTGCACTGTTGATAGAATGCATCAACATGCTTCATTTACGTCCCCATTGGGTAAGCATGGGAGTGTCGCCCTGTGTTCTAAGGCACTAGCTTCCGGACCGCAGGTACCGTTTTCAAACGCCAGCACCGGAAAGAAAGTTTAATTTGTTTTGTTATTCCTGTAGTGTGCACATAGTCCGTGATTTGACCAATAATGGTCGACTCTTATGCCAGCGTTCAATAAATAGCTTTGCAACTTCTGTGCAGCGCCGTGCTCTCAAAACAGCTTCGATTCCCCTTTGATGCCCAGGGAACCTCGATCCCGTACACTGCCATCTACTACGCTTCAAGATGCGGCCCAGCAAGTGCCGCCTTCAGCACAAAGTACACCTCCTGGTGTCCTTCGTCTGCGCAACACAACGGCTCTAACTGACGCAGACGGTGGCGATGCGGAGAGGTGGCGCTTGATTTGTGACCATGTATATGCATAACCAACAAGTGGCACAAGGTCAAAAAATCGAGCTACCTGGTTTTCTAGCTCGTCGATGTGGGAGGCCTGTGGTACAACAACCCCGCATCAGATTTTGAGATATTGTTTGATTTCAAGACGACCATTGTCAACTTTTTCGGTAGCCCTGCCGTTTACAAGCTGCAAGTGGAACCGCGTCTAAGCTAATGAGCTCAGCAGGCCAACGAATCTTCCACAAGTTACAAGGAAAACATTCTCGACCTGTGCAAGAAAGCCAGAGCAACCATTTCGAAGTCTGATAAGGAGAAAATGTTTGTTTTGAAAAGCATAGATTATAATGCCTTCACCATGCTACTCGCTAGAAACCTTCACACTACGGCAGAGGTGTCGGCAAGGCTTTTTAAAGGGGGTGCAAACCCATGTTGCACCTTGGCTTTGGGAGGAGTAGGAAGCTGGTAGTATAGCTAATGGGGGGACAAGTTCTGGCGAGGCTTGAAGGGGGAAAGTGCCCCTTTTGCACCCCCGCGGACGCTCATGCAGTACACCAGAAATAACTGCCACTTAAATAACATGCCGCCGGCAGGGACTCCAACCTGCAACCTTTGAGTAACGCATCTGATACTCTACCACTGGGATAGCCTGCCGCTGGTATGGACCGGCGGCAGGTTATCTCAGAGGTAGAGTATCAGATGTGCTATTCAAAGGTCGCAGGTTGGGTACCTGCGGGTGGCAAGTCATCTCTTTGTCCACTTCTCCTTCTGCACATTTACATTACAATTATTTCGAATAACATCCCCAATATGTTTCTTGACATCACTGTCTGCAGTTAGTTCTCCTTATTATTGTGACATAATACAGGCAATGCAACTTGTATTACACCTATTTCAGGATAACCAGAAAAGGCTGTCTAACAGCAAGCATAATATTATTGACAGTTGGGGCTCAAAATCCCAGAACCACAATAATAATGACAAATGCCATAGTGGGAGGCTTCTTGAATTTTGACTACATGAGGTATTTTAAAATGCACCTAAATAAAAGTAAAGTCTCAACGAAGAAATACTGGCACAAGTAACCAGTTGCCGGGGAGACGGGACGTACAACACAAGGTGCAGTTGCTCCCAAGCTTGGCAATATCGAGAGCGCAAAGCACATTCCGTTTTTCTAAATGTGGGTAGCCGGCAGAAATAACTGCAACAAGCAGCTTTTTAGGGCAACTGTGATAAAGATACGACTGCTCACAACTGTGGCAAAAAAATACTAAAGAAGAAATCACATCTGCAAATGAGCAAGCATTTCTTTAAGATATATGTTTTCGTATGGGCACATTTTCATCGCTCCGCTGGCCAACGCTGCTTAGGAAAATAGAATGTGCTTGGCACTCTCACTGTCCACATGCTCGTGAGAAGCGGTGCCCTGTGTCGCAATTTTACAACTCCAGCCAGCGGTCACTTGTGCTAATCTTTTTTCGCTGAGATTGTACATGAGCCTCATGCAAATTTGCCTGAATCTAAATTGACCCACTGCAGCCAGAATTTCAGCCCGCGACCTTTAGGTCAGCAGTCGAGTACAATAAACCCCAGGTTCAAACGTGGCACCCCAGGTGCCACGTTTGAACGCGTTTGAATGTCGGACAGATCACATGCAACGCAATTTATACACCCAAATTTCGATGTAACGAACCTGGACTTAACGAAATGTCAGTTATAATAAAATAAGTGAAAGAACAGTTTTGGAATAGATGTAGTGTTTGGAATATACATTTATAACGAATTTTCAGTTATAACAAACTTATTTTCATGTAAGATGCAGCTTTGTTATAATGAGGTTCAATTGTATGACACCAATTTTAGGGCAACCAGAAAAAGTGAGCATTGGCCAAGAGACAGCACAGAAAGGCGCCCGCTCAAGTAGCCCGAGCGCAGAGGTGGGAAGAGCATCGTGAGCAAGATTTTAAAAGCAAGCGAGATGCCAAGGCTACCTGCAGATGACATCAAGATAATCGTCAGACCAAGGGATAGGCTGAGCGTTAGACACACGTGCAGAGCCAGCATTGACGAAGCGATACGCCAAGAAGCAGGGGTTAGCAATGACGAAATCTTCACAATCTGCCCCAACCCTACACAAAATATCCTGGTGATCAGCACACCGGATGAGTGAGAAGCGATTGAGAGAAATGGGGGAGGAGCGTTGGGCTAGGAAGGTTTTCAGCTACTTGTACATGAAGAATGTCGATACAAAATGGAGGAAGCGAACCAGGAAATTGACTGGTAAATACTTAGAAAACAGCAGGTGGCCAAACTAAAAAAAAAACTATGGCAAACAGCACACACACCAGTGCGGAAAACAAATGGACATATGATACATTGAGGAAAGAGGTTGTCCTTGCCAGTGACAAACAAGACAGGTGTCAAATTAGAGTGCCACAACTGCGTAGCAGGCTGCCCGAGACCATAGAGCGCACACCAAACAAGTACTTACGCCTTTGCCTTTTTGATGGTCTTCTCAAGTTGTTCATTCTTTTCTTTGAGTCGCTTCAACATTGGTCTGTTATTTTCCTGCAAGACAGTCAGAAAAACGATAAACAACAAAGCACCAGACACTTACAACATCGAGGGAAGAATGTGCATTTATTAGCTTATCTTAGTTTTTTCATGGGTAACTTACAAAGAACCTGCGAGTATATTTAATGCATTTACAGACATGTGTTGAACTTACACAACTTTATTTCAAGGCACTCAATATTATATAGCAAAAAGAAAAGTAAATCCTAACATGTTGATGTAGGTGTTTTAAAGCAAATAATTTTAATTAAATTGAGATTAGCCATCTGTTCATCCAAAACACATTGAAGTTCTGTTTTTGTAAAAATAAAATGAAACCTTAGACTAGAAATATAGTGAAAATTGGTTTTCGGGTACGTTCATTTCAAGTGAAGAAACATCATACTTTTTAGGCATTGGTTGGGGAAAGGAGTAGGTTTAATGACTTGTACATAGCTGTGCCTTCAGCAGAGTTATTATAGCTAGCAAATCACAGTTAAATGAAGACACATTTAAAGTTGGGCAATGCCACTAGCTCTCTTCTAGTGACCAGTCGACAGAACTAGCAAAAAGACGTGGTGCAGACAACTGTATGCAAAGTGCCTTATAGCCACTTTGCCTAGCATTCCCATAAGGGACACTCAAGTAAAACAACGAACAAGTTTAGATTGATAAACTGTACTCTGAAAGCTCTAATGACATTATTTCATAATTATAGGTTAATTAATAGAGGACAAAACTAAGGTGAAAGGTTTATTTTAAAATACTGTGCCGAAATATCCATGCGTGACATCCCAGACTTAAAAGGATACTTTTCAAATTTCGGAGACATTTGGCTTCACAAAATCTCCTGAAGCTTAGTGCAGGTAAATCTTGCCCCCTCAGAGGACAGTCTACATCATTTGTGCTGATTAGGACCTACACGGGCCTTTGTGAATACCATCCAAATCTATGGTATCATGACAATTGATGTGGGACGCTCAATAGGCCGTCGCCACCTGCATTTTCGTTTTATACATTTTTAGGCTTTGCAAGCATCTTCTCCTGCCAAGCATGGTAATCTAGGTATTGTGAAACAGCGATTTAATAGTAAAAAAAAAAAAGAGGTTTCCTCTCTAGTGTCTATTTGAAGGGTTAAGGATGGCGGGATCGCGAACTGGCAGCGGGAGCCAAGTGAGCCACAATGAGAGGGAGCGACCTGTCCTGTTCACCCAACTTCCCCCTTGGTACCACATGCTTCCCCCTGATCTCTCGGCCTGCGAGAAGGAATACTAGCGTCTACTAGAGGGATACTGTTCTATTCCAGATGGATATGAAAGATGGTTCTGAAAGCACACACCGGATGAAGAGATGCTCCCTCATCAGGCGTGTCGAGATCACCCATCCAGAACCGTGAGCTAACAACTTCATCAACTGACTCCCCAAGTGCAGAAAAAAACTGTGTGGCAAGTGACCAAAGTGAAAATATATTCGTAAAATGACGTTTCGGCTACACACATGGGAGACTTGTTCGCAATGCTCTACCTTATAGGTAAATCATGTCACCTGTTCCAGGCAGTGCACCCAGACAAGGGAAAAACTACCACTGGTCTTAATGAGCATGTGTGCAGCAATTTCAATCAATGAAGATACCAGACAAAGTCACAAAAAGAATTTTTTCCAAGGCTTCATCTGGAGCTGCGCCTGCTTTTTGCCGTGTGCGTTATTTCACCAAGTGCACGAGATGGTTCGTCACCCCTTGAACGCAACAAAAAATGTATGATTTTAATTGGCCTGTTTCGGCTTATTAGTTAAACCTGCCATCGTCATGATTACCTACGCTACAGGCTGGGAGCGGGACCTGAGTACCGAGCTAGTTTTAAGCCTCATGACAGAGAGAACCGCTCACTGCCGAGTGACAAAATGCTGCCAAGACGACCCTTGCACACCGGCGAACTACCAATAATAAGGGCTCACAGTGCCACAGTAGCGATGCCAGAAGCCAGCCCAAGCCACTGGAGAGCTTTTGACTATGTTCATAGCACAAGGATGAGAGGACTTATAAGTGCAGGAAGCGACAAGTTTTGGAAGCGGGTTAACTCTGTATCTCTTGAGGGGAGGAGAAGCACAAAATTGCAGCGAGGACCCACAGATACGTCCACGCGGTAGTGAACCCCAGCGCGAACTACTGAAATGAAGACGATAAGAAGGACATGCGAGGTGCTGCGTGCCCTTATCACAGTGACTTGTATGTCTTTGTTTTGATCGCCCCTCATCTCGGTAGTTACACTGTGGTTCATCTCGCATCACTACCTTGCCCCAAATTTTTTTATTACGAAGCATATTTTCACCAGTGCAATTGCATAGACACTGGTGGCACTTTTGGATGATCACAACCGCAACGTGATTCGGAATGCAACAATGTGGAGTTGACCCTTTATCCAAAGCAGAACAATCATGCTCGAGCCTTACATGAGGCAGAAACTTGAGGCTAACAAAAAAAGCTAAACTTAAATTGAGGCTGACACAGCAAGCCTTGGAAGACAAAATGACAGGCGTAACCTTCAGGGACGAAAAAGCCAGGGAACAAGCGCGTGTTAATACACACACATCTCAGTTGAAATAAAAAGAAACGACCTTGAGCTGGGTGGGTAGGGAGAAGGCAAGGTAACTGTTGGCAATTAGGAGTAACTGACTAACTTCCAAGAGAAGGCAAGGGCACTAAAGGGAGGCGTAAATTTAGATAGGCAGATGAGATGAAGTATTCGGGGATAACATGGCCACAACAGGCACAGGACTGAGTTAAGTGCAGAAACGTGGGAGAGGCCTTTGCCCTGCAGTAGATGTAGCCAGACCGACAATGATGATGGTTCACAATGTTTTGTTGTCAGGTTGAAAGAAATTTGGTGAATCCAAACAGTGTTTTGCAGCCGACCTTGCGGCCAGTCATAAAGAATATAAAAATTGCAGTAGTACTGGGCCGAGGGTCAATACTAGCAAAAGTCAGTGCGACTGTACATGCGAAGTGCTAACGTGGTTCAAAAAGTCACGGCAGCTATGTCGTCTTTTTTAAAAGCAGGAAAGGGAGCTGAAGACAAAATAACAGTGCCAACTGCGCCACAGTTGGGATTAAGTGGGGAGGTCTCCCCACTTTGTGCTTGCACATGACTACACTTGAAAGCACCACAGTGCCCCCATGAGAACTTTTCCCGTTGTTATGTAACCGATCAATAACACATGTAACCACTGACTCGATGAGGAACACGAACAGTAGAGTACATTCTCGAATTGATGTGGCCACCCACAATAACGCTGAATTCTTCGACGCTACGTGTATAAATGCTAATGTGCCTCTCAGCCCATTAATTAGATACGGCTGACGACTGTGGTAACCACTGTCAGTGGCTATTTATCTGCTTGTACTTTTCGTTTCCCGGGCACGAGTTTGCACATGGAACAGTACGTGTCACCCTTAACAGCTAAATTACCGCCTTTTTTACTGTCGTGACCACCACGTTTAGAGGCATTTCACAGGGTAGGCCACTGCTCAGTGCCGCAGGCAGTGCTTAACGTACCGTATGTAGCAAAGCCCAGTGTCTACCTTCACAAATGTTTACAGGTTAAGAAGGCACGTGAAACTTCAATAGTGAAACTTTAGTTGCATGGCACAGTGATGTGTTTGGCAGTTTACGAAGTCCACACCACTGTGACAGCACCAGAGTCGGAAAAAAGTAAAAAAGTCCTCTTTTTTTTTTTTCCCACAAGGTCCCCAATTCACATCCACACATCACCAAAAAGAGAACTACAGCCTTAACTAAACATATTTTACTTTTAAGGCTAGCATTTCTGCATTTTTAATTTTTTGGAAGCACAAGCATGCTCTGCTCTGACTTTGCCAGCTTAGATAACATGCTCTGGCAGTGCCCTGCGTTATGGGTTGAAGATGCTTTATCATCCAAGTGGGATGCCGCGCCATCATGTACGGATTTAAGGACGTAGCTATGGGCAGTCCAACGCACCCACGACGTGGCAGAGAGGTTAGACCTATCTGTTCCGATGTGGGAGAAGCCCGCTACATACTAGCTCACGTCCCGATGGACCCAAATAGAGTTTTCCCATACCATACCATGCTAATTTAACACCTTTAGGTCCACACACCAGAAGCACGATGCAATTGTAATGTACACTGTAGCTGTGCGATCTGATTACGACCATCTACGGCTCTTTAACGTACACCTAAAGCTGAGTCATGGGTGTTTAATTAAGCATTTTACCCTCACTGAAATGTGGACACTGCCACATAGAAAACCAAGCCCGCATTTTTAGGCTTAGCTGCGCAGTACCTGAGCCCCTAAGCCAACAAGAGTAATCTCTGAAAGTGTCTAAGTCTTAAGGGGACCCTGAACCACCCAGAGTTCGAAATATAGATGCAATGTTTCGGTTGTGCATAAGTCCTGACAAACATGTATCCGTGAGAATTTCTGAAGAGCCCCGTAATTCGCCGGAATAGCGCGTCTGATGATCGAAATGTGCTCTCCGTTCGTTTCACTCTTTCCTCTTTGTTGGCTTGTCTTTCCTCCTAGCTGAGTGTTCTCTCCTCGCATTGTGAGGAGGCTAATCTGGAAGCGCATGCATCTGGAGTCTGGAGGCAGACAAAAAGGGCTGCAGCGCAAAAAGGGCTACAGTGCTGAGGCACTGACCGCAAAGCCAGTGCCTTAGCACCTTAAAACCAGATCCTCAGCTGGTGCCTGTGGCCCGGCTGTTGAAGAAGAGAAGAGATGGGAAGTGCATGCTCAAGGTGCAAGCTCGGTACACAAGCCTGGCACGTGCAGATAGGTGCTCAAAGTCTGAATAGCTTTCCTCCTCTGTCACTCTGCTATTGGTACCCTGCGAACCTCAAAAGGTTTTTTCTGGTGACAGGTGACGTAGCGACCAGCACTAGGCCACCAAAGGCCCGCAGAGGAGCTGAAGATCCCACTTTTTACTTTGTGGTGTGCCCACGACAGAGAGCATAGCTGCGCTTGGCACTGTTGATTTTCATATTATTCCAAACTCAGTGTGCACATTTACTTGAAATGTTGAAAAAAATAGTAAGTACAGGGGTGCTTTGGACGTAAATATGTGGACACTGCGTGCACCACTACACAGCAACTCACCACGACAGCAGGCAGTTTGTGAGGGTCAAGAACCCGGAGCTGAAGACCCTTGTCCAAGCATGAAAGGATCCTGTGAAGTTAAATTGGAAGGGCTTGAAATGATCAGGCACATGACATAGAAACCGGCAGCACAGTTTCCATGGTGCTCAAGAACAACTGAGCAGCAATCGTCACATAGAGAGAAGCTTTGACTGAATGCAATTTCATTTTGCAAGGTTTCGATCACTGCTTTCAATTCTTCAACACATATTTCATACAGTCAAGTTTTGCAAAACGAAGGTGTGCTGAAGAAGACTCGACATCCTGTCCAATCGAAAAATTATTCCATGGTAGTTTTATGTCAGGAAACACGTTGAAGGCAAGCGATTACATTTGAACTGATTTAAAATTTGTAAGCACAGCAGTACAGCTCTGCTGGTTTGATGCAGTTTGCTTGAAGATATTGCTCATCTATGTGCGAGCACTGCATGCTCAATTATTACACACTGGACGGTGTCAACTGCTTTGCTGCCAGGCAAGCTGCGACCCCATCTACTCTGATCAGCTCTCTACTCATGGGTTGTTTGAAGTTCTGGCCAACATCGTAGACAGTCCACTGTACATCTTAGAAAACTGGTAGAGTGTTTTAGCAGCATCAGTTTATGGTGCAGTAAGGTTGTAAATACCATAATGTCGTGGTTGGCAAGTAAGCAGCATATTAAAAATCTTTAGCCACCTAACACCCATTGTATACAGCAGTGTGATGCAGTAATGCAGCAATGTGTAAAGTGATCGATGTGGCTAATATAGGTCTTGCAGATCAAAAAAAGCTATGCGCCAACCACGACAGTATGGTATCAGCAAACGGTAAACAAGCATTGACAAAAAATGCTATTGCCAAGCACAAGTTGCCTGGATAATTAAAAACGCCTAGATGGCATTGTGGCGACAGAGGGAAAAAAAAAAAAGTGGCAGTGAAAACACAGGACCGAGTGCCGACTGTCAACGTCTGTGAGAGACTGGAAGACGTCCGTGCAGCATCACACAAGCTCATGGCGACATGAGAAAGCTATGGCAAATAAACAAAATAGTTATTTCTTAACTACCTTATGCATTCGTTTTCTATGAAAAACAACGTAACTTTCGTTAGGCATGTAAAAAAAAGTCTACTTGTGAGTAGGTCGACCATAGCAGTAACATACAAATGTTTCACTCAGCTGCCATCTTGTCTGGACAGAACAGTAGCCGGCGCCATGAAGCTTGCTAAAATTAACTAGAGGGAACTCTGGTGCTGTGATCATTCAGCGAGCATAGGAATTATGGGTTTTCAGACAGACAGAATTTCAGACAAGAACAAAACAGGCTTTTAAAAAGTGATGAGTGGTAAAGCCAATGAGCTGAGAAAACAACATATAAACCATTCATTTGTAATAGTGCATTCAGACGACGGACTGAACCAGACTTGTCTTGAATGCCAACAGCTAATCTATGAATGATCCCCCAGCAGGTGCATAGATACGACGAACATTGTTTTAGGAGAGCTGTATTACTAGCAACTGCAGCTTCTGCGCATGCCTGTGTTCACTGACAACAGACCAGATTGAGAGTATTCATCAACATCGAGGCAGACAAAACAAACGTGAAACTTGTCGAGGACTGTAACTTGTTTTGGTGAAATCGTGCAGGCAAAATGACTGGATGGGAAGAAAAACCAGCTGCACAGTGAGAGAGCTGCTGAAGACAGACCTCAATGATGTCTTGTGTGGGGCCTCCTATACGAAGCATACAGTGATGATCCAGCCGATATTGGCAGTTTTTTTTTCTTTGCAGATAACAGATACTGACACCTCACATTGCACATTATGTTTCCTTCTCTTGTTTCACATCTTGACCTTAAATTAAGTGATGCAACTTGGGCTGTATTCCGAGACTACCGCTTTCGGCAACAGTGCCCCTTTGGCTGGCCCAGGATTCTGGGTGTGCCGTGGATGAAGGAGCGGCAACTTGCCGGCTACTTTCCAGCCGTCCAATCAGCATGCACTAAAAGTGATCAATATCTTAACGGTGATCATCTTAGAATATGGCCCCACAGATAAACTGAACCGAGTGTCGGCAAAACTGTGAGGACAGCCGTATAAATCAAGTGGACAAAAAGTGCACTGGTTGCCAGCATGTTTACCCGCTATAGCTGTGGCGTTGCACCACCAAATTTTTTAATTGAAAAAAAAATAATACAGGTTGGGCTCATCAGTCTGCGAGCCATGTGCACAATGCACAGATGAGGAGAATCACTGATGGTAGGTCTCGTGACAAGCCGTTCCCCTTTCAAATCCGGATTCGGTTTGCCTGAATGAACTATGAAGTCGCTTCCTGTGATGCCACAGACATTTCTAACCATGCCCACGGTGTCAGCACAGCTTCTTGTGAAACGACAGTTGTTTTGCTCTTCGACACTGGGTATATCTCATCAGATTATACGTGCTGCATTCTTTTCCGTTTCGCAAAATGTGTGCCTTTGTGTCGGACCTTTTTCACTTGCCATTACTCCAATATAGCAGGCATTACGATGTCAGCGTGGCCTATATATACGAGACTAGAGCTTCTAAATGTACAATCACAGGTGTACACATCTTAGGCTCAGCTTTCTAGGGTACCAATCACGATATATATAAAAGCATCTCATTTTACATGTTTCTACTCAGCAGGTAGTGCGCTTTTGTGTTAGTCATATCAACAGCTCAAAATCAAGGAAGTAAAGGAGCCTCTTACTGCTCTGATGTGTCGATGAGACACTGTTTGGTCTCGCTGTCAGCTTCTGGATTTGCAGCGAGCACTCTCCTAGACAAAGAAGAAACAGTGAAAAAGGATTAGTCAACCTAACAAGCAACTTGACGACTGCATCGCGACAACGTGGCTCTTTGGGCCAGTTGGTCGTGCACATCAAAAAGCGTGATAGCGCCAGCACAGACATAGTTGGGAATATGAGTGAGTGACAGGCTAATAGAACGCAAACAGAAGTTGGGCCAATATCGGGATGGTCATGTTGTGAATTGTAGCAATTGTGGATGCGAAGCTTTGTTAAAAGAGGTCGTTGCTGTGTATGGGAACAGCGACAAAACTATGCGAATGATTGTTGAAGCCACCCGGAGCGCAAGGGCCACTAATAGCTGTGTCAGCAGTGGTATTGACTTTTTTTTTTGTTTGCTAAGTCGCTAGAAGGCTTTTAAAAAGTCGCCAATTTCGGTCAAAAATCGCAAAACAGTTATGATGATAATTTTTTTTCCCGGGTTCTCACTTTTGGACTTGATAAAGCACGTGAAGAGATTATTTTCTATTCAATCAATATTCTAAGGCTAGTCAGACTGCGCTGTTACCTTCTCGCTATGCCATGGTGAACCGATGAGCGCCACTGACAGCTTGATCCTGTATGCTTTGGCCACATTTATTGAAGCTCGTTCCGAGCATTCCGCTGTTCTCACAGTTTTGTAATTTGCTGTCCGTTTTAGAACACTCTACCTCAAATTCACCTCAAGAAGTAACAAAAAAAAAAAGTCGCTAAGATCTTACTCCAAATAGGTAGAATTGTCGCTAGCACGACTACAAATGCACAAAATTTAGTGACTTTCTCGCTAAGTTAACACAACTGGTGTCAACTGCGTGGTGATAGTGCTGACTGCAAATAAATTGACTTTCTGTACTCAACATAACATTTTATGAATGGGAGTATTACAATATGCGGGTCTCTGACATTAGCAGCGAAAGGTAGTTGTGGTAGGAACGAAAACCGACTCGCACGATTCTCTTGCGCCTAAGAATGACATGTGCGGCGCAGTTCTCAGTACGGGGCTCGTATTTATTCTTAGGTTGTTCTATAACTATGGAGCTCCACTAGACTACCAGAAATACATTGAAGTGGGCTCCGAAAGCGCTGTCGCCGAACAAGTGCCCATTCAGCAACGCTGCACTTGCACTGGCGCGTTGGGGAACGTCCTGCGTGCCGTTCAAGTTAAAAGCGCGCACTTTCACTTCACAAAAAGTTCCTCGGACGTAACTCACCCTTGGGCGACCTGCAAAAGAGTCCGACAATCACTTTTCATCGCGTCCACAGGCACTCGACGCTTATCGAGCATAGAAGTCTTGAACAACACTCTCTGTCTGAAAGGCCACTTCAGTTCCGTCTGTGAAAATGACTGCTCAGGCTCTGCCATGCTAGTCTGTCGTTGCGAGGATACTTGCTTCGTACGCGAAAGCACTACAAACCACAAGAAACTCGATGCTACAAACCACACGTCGTTCGTAGAAACCGCTTCAAAACAAGGACAACGCCTACTCTAAACAATGCCTGGGGAATGGCTCGCGCTCCCAGCGGAGTTGGCCTGCCTTCAGTTTTGAGCAAGTGCCGCGCGGTGGCGCTCGCGACCGAGACTATTATGTGGCTAGCATTTTTGGATATCAAGGGAGCGTACGATAGCGTGGTTCAAGAGGAATTGTGGGGAATACTGGACACACTAGGCGTGGAACACGTCGTCACTAATCTTTTGAAGGGTGTCTATAAAGGTAACAAGGTAGTTATAAAGTGGGAAAAACAGGTATCCAAGCCTGCAGAGGTAAAACGGGGGCTTAGGCAGGGGTGCCCCCTGTCACCCTTATTATTCATGATGTACCTACAAGGATTAGAGGCAAAATTAGAGGGAAGTGGACTGGGCTTGAAGCTCTCTTTAGTCAAACAAGGAAAAGTTATTGATCAGGCACTACCAGCATTAATGTACGCAGATGATATAGTGCTAATGGCCCACAACAAGGAAGATTTGCAGAGATTGGTGGACATCTACGGTAATGAGGGAGATAGGTTAGATTTCAGATTCAGTAAGGAAAAATCAGCAGTCATGATTTTCAATGATAACGAAGGTAGTGAGCTTAGAATACAGGAGGTCACGCTAGAGATAACAGATAAATACAAATATCTGGGCGTATGGATAAGCAATGGGACCGAGTACCTGAGGGAACACGAAATATACGTGACGACTAAAGGTAACAGGAATGCAGCAGTGATGAAAAATAGGGCACTGTGGAATTACAATAGGTATGATGTTGTGAGAGGAATATGGAAAGGGGTCATGGTTCCTGGGCTGACGTTCGGCAATGCGGCTCTTGTGCATGAGATCAGAAGATCAAGCAAGATTAGAAATTAAGCAACGTGGAATAGGTAGGCTTGCTTTAGGAGCTCACGGGAATACACCAAATCAGGGAGTACAAGGTGATATGGGATGGACATCGTTTGAGGGCAGGGAAGCTAGCAGCAAGATAAAATTTGAGAAACGATTGAGAGAAATGGGGGAGGAGCGTTGGGCTAGGAAGGTTTTCAGCTACTTGCACATGAAGAATGTCGATACAAAATGGAGGAAGCGAACCACGAAATTGACTGGTAAATACTTAGAAAACAGCAGGTGGCCAAACCAAAAAGAACTATCGGTTAAGAAGAAAGTGAAGGAAACGGAGACTGACATGTGGAGAATGGGCATGATTTAGAAGTCCGCACTAGAGATCTATCGAACCTTTAAGCAGCAAATTGCCAAGGAAAGGATCTATAATAATACTCGGGGTAGTTCTCTACTGTTTGAGGCCAGGACGGGAGCACTGCGAACCAAGGCATATCGGGCCAAATACGAAGGGGTAGACACAGTATGCAGTGCGTGTGGAGAGGAAGAAAAAACTGCCGAACACTTGATAATGTTCTGTAAAGGGCTTCACCCTATAGTTCAGGATGATGGCGCTGAGTTTTTCAAAGCACTGGGGTTTAGGGACCGGGAGGGCAAAATAGACTTTAAGCGGGTAGACTTAACTAGAAGGAGGGTATCTGATTGGTGGCTAAAGTCAAAACACGAGTGAAAATTAAACCCTTGACTGCAAAGTACGAATCCTCAAACTCACTTTTTAAAGAGAAAGAATAAATCTAGTTTTTGGTTCATTAAGTATTATGGCTTGATGGCGCTAGCCACCGCCCAATTTCAAGAGTACAGCCGTATTTATTCATTCATTTATCCATTATCACGACGGCGGGCCGCGGGTGGTATCAGCCAACGCCTCCTCTAAACAATGCCTGGGGAATGGCTCGCGCTCCCAGCGGAGTTGGCCTGCCTTCAGTTTTGAGCAAGCGCCGCGCGGTGGCACTCGCGACAGAGACTATTATCAGGGCAGCGGGCGGTACCACACCGCGTCGGCTGCTGCTGACGTTCAGCCGCGCGCTGTGCTCTGCACGATTGTATGAGCGCGTTTTTTAAATGTTGCTTAAATGTCTCTGGAGAAGCAATGGCATACTGTGAGCAGCAAGCACTCGGTCGTGGTGAAATAGTACACGTAGCGACAGTCAACGCAACTTCCAAAAAAGCACTGAAATATATGTGCAGAACAGTGCGACCACGTTGGTATTTTCAGCGTCACTGACAAAAGGTTTTCTTTCGAAATGCCTGCATACGTTGCTTTGAAATGAACATCGGAGTGAACGTATTTGTGTCTATGTTTTTCAGTTACACCAGGTGAAATTTGTGTAGATTCAACAAACAGCTTCAAAAACGAAAGCAATGATTTTTATAAGAATGTTCAGAAATCTGAACACAAGCAGCAATGAACACAAGCAGCAATGAACACAAGCAGCAACATAAATTAACACGCACAGGTAATGAGTCAAGCTGTGTTACAACTTCAGCACTTTTCGAGAGAGAGGCTTGTTCTCCAAGATTCTCACAGCAGCATTTCTGTCAGTCACACCGAGTGCATAATTACTGAGCATTGGCTTTATGAACTTTTCTGAAATGAGCTCGAAGAGCTGCTTTCGGTGGTCGACGTCTGCGTTCCCACAACTCAGAACTGGAAGTACCACAAGTAGTTCAACAGTGCGCTTCACGCAAACTTCAAGGGGCTTTGTGATGTCTCTTCTGTGCGCCAAAACAGTCTACAAACTTCCTGAGCCCTACTAAAAGCTTCAAGAGTTCTTGGCTTGGATATAGCAGTCAACCACGGTCCTGATGCGCGATAAGCCCAAGAAGGGGAGTGTTGGCTTTGGGCCCTTGCAGCAGTGCGACACAATTCTGACAGGAAATACTCTCACTTGCAGCTCGGACAATAGACCCTCCCACCATTGCCACGCTTGCAACATCGGGATTTGAACGATATGGTCCTTCCGAAAGGCAGTGCTTCTTTAATGCGGCAACTGCCATGACTAAGATCTTTTCAGTTGGACCCGGGTTGGTAGTAGGACTTAATCGAGAGAGAAGAAGTTGTCTCGATGCAAAGGACGTCGAGCTTTGAACGTTGCTTTCTTTGGAAGCAGCAACAATGCCAGTTTTCAACATTTTCTCTAGACCACACACAATGCTCTTCACGTCGAACATGTCGTCGATGCCAGCACTTCGCCGTAAAAAGCCAAAAAGTGACCCGATTGGATCACTTGAAAACTTTCGCGTGAGCACAAACTTAAAATACTTCACGGTGAGCGAATGGCGCATGCAGTCCACGTTTTATTTAGTTGCGAAGACAATGGCATGATACGTCTCTTTACTGAAAAAGTTTCCTGTCAAACTTTCATTCTTCAAATCTTCGATGTAATTGAGGAAGACAGTTTCCAACCATTCAAGCCTCGGGTCTTCGACGTCTGTGAACGGCCGAGAGTCTTCGTTGTTGCAGTGAATATACTTTTGGAAGTTGCTCACGTCCATGAGGGCGAACCATTTTTGCATCATTTTCATGAACTCGATGGTAGGGCCCGCTGACGCGAATTCCAAGTCACAGGTGTGTCCGGCCTGGTCTTTAAGATAGCTGACAGCTGCAGTCACTGATGTCGAGAACAACTGCACAGCAGGCCTAACGCTAACTTTCTCGATATTTGAAGGGTAGACATGCTTGCGTGTTAAAAATCTCACCGGCCTCATTGAAGAATGCTTCTGCATCCTGTACAATTGTTTAACATACTTTGATGACACCTGCTTATTTCTACCGAAGTGCTTTGCCAAGAACTGAGATCTGACATTTTTTATGATATGGCTCTGGTCAAAGGAGAGGTAGATTTCTTTTGAAGAATCGGCGGGATGTGGAGCTCTTATAACTGCTTCGCCATTGAACATGATGTCCATGGCTGCCACGTTTATCTTGTGATTATCTGTCACAAGGCGGACAACGTCCAAACCGGCGTCTGCTGTCTTTTTTAGCACGTGGCTTATGACCAGAGCAAGTTGCTGACCGGTGCAGCCTTTTGTAAAAAAATACCCTACTGGTATCTTGAACCTGGCGCATAGGCCACACAGAAGGAAACACAATAGCGAGTTGGCCAGATACTCTCCTGATTTAGGAGTTAGTTGTTCCAATCCAGGACCCATATCCAAGTCGCCAACAAAGTCATCCCGCTGCTTGTGATACAGCAGCAGGTTTTGCTGTATCCTCATCTCATCAACAATGAGACTGCAATGCAAACCTTTGACTGGGGCGTGTCTAAACGTTCCAGTTCTGTCTGGAGGCGCAGGCGAACGAGCTCGCTGAAACCGGCTTCTTTAGAGCTGCTGCCAATATATTTTTGAAGAGTAGTGCGGCATGATAAAGTTAGTAATTTCTGGGACCTAATGTATTCATATGCTCTGGTGGGAAAATGTCGAATGACAATGCAGTGTCTAATCGTTGTTTCTGACCACGACGGTCTCTTGTTTTTATAATTCTTCATTTGATCTAACAGTAACACAGCTTTTGTGCTTCCCTCTTCGGTATCGGCCACAACTTCCAAAAATGCGCTTACAGAGCACTCTTCTTTCAGTTTTTGGAGCTCGTTCTTGTAGGCATCCACAGTTTTTCGCAGCCTTTCAATTTTAGCTTTCAGAGCGCGTTCCTTTTCGCGCCATCGCTTGCGCTGAACAAAAAAATGCGATGAAGGCACGCTTGGTGCTGTTTGAGTCTTCACAAAGCGCTTGTAGGGCAGGGTCACTTTTTTTTCTGGTGCTCTTTCTTGTGCTAACCACGACAAGCACATCTGGGTTGTTCGCATCCTGGGTGCATGTTAAATTGGTCACCACTGCAGGCCCTGTCATGGCGAGCAAACCTACGTCGTGGTTGCCACTCAGTAAACTGGTACTTTCTTGCACGGGTTCACTCAGGTTCGTGTTCTCGCTTGTTGGAGACTCGTTAGCTTTAGGACAACTTGCCTCCATTTCGCTGCCTCCTGTCGACAAGGCTGCGGTATCATTGTCGTCGTGGCTGCCGGCGTTGCTCGGAGAAGGTTCACGCTTTCTTTTTCGTATTCTTCTATCCCGCTTTACTGCGACCCTTTGATGTCCACAGTCTCGCCAGTCGGGT